ATGGGCAGTGTGGATGAGAGGGAAAGTTTACGTTCCGTTTCTCATCACGCCTCTGCGCGCAAGTAGGTGAGTACGGTGAGTGCAGGAGTAACGCACCGGTCATTCGTGACATAATTGGTGTGGGGTCCCATTAGGCACAATGGATTTCGCATGGTGCGCATGTTAACCGTCCGCAGGCCACACGTGTATTTTGGCCTTAGATCACCAACGTTCAAACTACATTAAATTATTTTAAAAAAAAGTGACAATCACAACAATAGCACAATTAATTACAAAATGACAAATATATTTTACGTCAATTTTGACTGAACTTAAATTAAGTGTATGTTATATTTACTATGACTCATAGTTAGCATCATCTAACATATTATTCAATAAAAATACTCGTAGACTATAATATGATACATTAAAATACAAGTTAAAAGTTAAAGTTACAGCCTATATACGTCCCACTACTGGGCACAGACCTCCTGTCATTTTTGAGAGGATTTTAAGGCAAGCAAATGTCACCCAATATGCCCAATGCGTGTAAACGAACTTCACATGTCTTCGAAATATTTTTTTTCTTATTTCTCTGACATGCAGATTTCCTTACGATGTTTAAACACTGTCGAGCACATGGTAAATCAGTACTTAAAATTGCAATTAACAATTTCATTGGTGCCGGCGGGGATGGAAACCGGGTTGCTCGCGTACTGTGAAATATGCAGCGAGCGTTTAGTCCCTAAGCTACCATGGCTCTCATGGAATGATTAAATGCTAACACATTAAATGCTAACAAAGACGTTTTTTTAAATCAGTTACATTTAACAGAATTTGTGTCTATAGATGAAATTGAATAGCTTTTTATTTTTACTTTGCCCAACATTTACATAATATCGGTCCTGTTACTGACACATAGCACACTGTGTGTAATTGTACTGGTCCATTGAATTTAAGAGAAAGCGTGTTAACAGATGAAAGCGTAATTTACGTACAAAGGGATGGAGTCGCTGAAACACCCGGTACAGGTGGACACCTTCCGTGATTTCGCGCCGGACATTAGCGTTGGGGCGATTTTTGAAACGCTCGATATTATTTCGAATGTAAGCTTATAAAAAGTCATCGTATTTTTAAAATAATATTAGTGTAAAACTACTAAAAACTAACATACAAATCAGTTATTATGTTGGTATTTGATAAAGGAAATTTTAATTTCTTCGAGAAATAAAGAAATTCCATTTCATTTATGAAATTGTTAATTCAATTTTAAAATAATAACACCTTTCTGCAGATTAATTGCTCAGCATATGTTATAGTATTCTTCAGCAACTCTTGTGCTTGTCTTTTGTGCAAACCCAGAAAAGAAGTAGTACCTACGTATGTGATCAATATGTGATAAATAGACATTACATTCGTAGATTAAAGTGTCAGAAATGTAGATAAATACCAGTAACTTACTTATTGCACTGTATGTCATTAATATTGATTGATATGACAAACAAACTTATAGTCCTATAATTGTATTCCAGTCTTGGCCAGATAAAATTACATAATTTTTACAAATCTTAATCTTCACCCTTTTCTATTGTTGCTGTGATCCTAAGTGGTAATATGTACATACGTGAATAACGAACAACAAGAAGAACAAAAAGAAATTATGCCCCATTTCCAGAATAACATAGGTGTCAAAGGAGTGGGCGTCAAAGCGTTGCAGCCCTTTTCCAAATCATTTCCATTCCGTTTTCCGAAGTGAAAAGTGCCCACGGACGGTCAAAGGGTTAACGATTTGGTGTTTATTTGAGTTCAACCCTAAAACAAACGGCTTTTGATGTACATAGATCGCATGTTTCCTGTTTCTTTGTATGACACAAGTAGTGGAACAAAGATATTCTTATAAATGGATCCTATATTTCAAATCATTTATACACATTACTTATTTATAATACTCATTTCTTAATTTATGAAGTGGTTGTTAGATACATCTGCCACAGCTTCTCAAGTCATCCTGGGTTGACTGGTAGAGAATTCCATAAGTCCGCCCTTTATATCCTTTATTATAGGTAGTATGTAAAAAAAAAAATACGCAAACGAAGAAACTTTCCATATTTTTATAATATTTTTTTTTTAATTTACAGCTACTCGTATAAACGTTTTATTTAAAATGCTTGTACTAAACTGTTAATTGATGCTATAACTTCATAATAATTGTTCAATTCTTATTAAAGTAAAACGATATGTGAATTAAGAATAGAAGTGGAGTTGATCGAGCAAGGTGATGAGTTTATGTGGACACAGAGGAAATGGAGCTCTCACACAATTGTGGAAATTCAGAAGGTGTGGTAATTCCCAATATTGAGTTATTCCCTACCTCAATATGGTAGTGCAAGTTGAGTGTGGTAGAAGAAGCATAAGAAAATAGTGCTCTAGAGATGCGGTCATGGAGAAGTAGGAATGTTAGAGTTGACCCTGAATGGGGCGAGAAGTTGTGTGATAAGAGAAAAGTGTGGTTTGCAAGATTTTTTTTGTTTGGACACGGAGATACGCAGTCTCTGCTTACTTCGTGTGTAACAAGCATGAGAGTCTATGATAATGTTTATGTTAATTCTTCATTAGATATTAAATAGTATATATACCTACTGCTTTCTAGACATGTCTCTTGGTACAGCAAAAACGGCATAATCGTTACTTTTGGTTGGCGAATGGGTGAATGCTTTATTAAAATGTTTTAACGTCTCATATGGTATTGAATGAGAAGACGTCATAAAAGAAATCATAAGAGAAGTGTGGAGGTGGCGCACAAGGATCCACCATCTCACCCCTTTTGTCCCTTGGCTGGTGAAGTGACTCTCGTCGATATGAGCTGTGAAAATTTAAATTATGTCTTATGGCGCCCAATAGCCATACAACTATAAATAAGATATAATATACCCAGACTGGCGACGGAGATTACAACATCTGGTTCTGCGAACACCAATACGCCAAGCATTGCGTTTCTGAAAAATTCACCTTTCGATGTGAAAGGGTCTAGTTGATTATACTACAAATGCCGGAAGCCATATGATCTTGTCGCACTTCCCTTTGCACCGCAACATTTATCTGGTATTAACTTGGCTGAACTTAGTCGACTCTTACAATATCGAGACAAAATTATGAGTAGGTATAGTAGGCCACACGAAATCTATTTTTTAAGGCAATACCTACCTATAAAATTAAGATATTGTAATTTTTATCTACCGGTAATTTAAATATGATTGTTTACGATTGCTCGGAGAGGTATCACATCGCAGTGCTCAGAGGCGTCTCTACGTTAAATAATTCCTAACGAGGTTAACATAACCCATTGAATCAATAAGCTAAAATGTCACTGGACCAGCAGCTTAGGTCTTTCAAACTATCGACCGTTTCGTTCTCGAGTGCAAATATCATACCGATGAACGCAGTAAAGGGCGATCAACCACTAGACAGAGTAAGTAATAATTCAGAAAAACAGGCAATGGACTATTACTACAATATTTCATAAAGCCAGATTTGAACATAATCACCTTAAAAATAGAAAAAGTCATCATGAATATACATACGTATGAAGCGATGCATATTTCGATATCTTAATAGGGTTTAAAGCATTTAGATTTAAATAAAGGCAGCTTTAAGACACAAATCGGTAACGATTCAGGATCCATTAGATAACAATATCTATAAAGAGCTTTCTATAGTGGCAACGGCGCGGCGCGGCGGTGCGGTAGAGAGAATGGCATCTTTGAATTTAAAATTAATAATTTTGTTGTCAGATAGAATCGGATCTATAGCACTATTAGTGTTTGATTATATTATATTATACTCACATGTTTACATTATATTTTACAAACAAAAAATACTTAAAATATAAAAACGTGAAACGTGTAACAATAAAATATTACTAACTAACATTCACGTTTATTTCATTAACAAACCCACAATAAACCGCTTTCGTACATTTTATCAAACGAAAAATATATGTATAGCGGGATGCGGTGTCAACAAGGTCACTAAAAATATCACAATGATCAGCCAAAATAGGAGTGCGGAACACTTACGAGTCTTTGTGTTCCCACTGTATGTACCGCAGCATGGCACCATTCCTCAATGAGGTCTCTCAGTGGGGAGTCTACGGTAGCTCGCAGTCTCTTTTTTGTATGGACGTTTTATCAAACATGTTAATGGCGGCTTTATGATGGCAACAAAAGAAGTGTGCTAACGGAGGCGTTAAATCCTTTACGATTTGACGATGATCGTCAGGAATTTGTCATGGGATCATTTTAGGATTCGAAATCTATCAAGCGTAAAAGTATTATTGAAATTCAATGTTAATGCGTAGAACTTCCCAAGCAAAACATTAAGACTTGCTTTTCAAATATGATACCAAAAACGTATACAGTAAGTAACCTGTACATAAATAAAACACAACACACACACATGCTTACACAAATAAATTAACCTAATTAAAAATGCTACTGTGATAAAAAATGTAAATTTATCTGTGATTAGCTTTAGTCTTTATAAAATCAGAAAACCTTTTTTTTAAACAGAGGTGTAACCTGGAAGCAAAACAACGACATCTAAGATCAACCACGAATTTACAGAACGAAATATTTTAATAGATAATCACTACATGGAAATTATGTGACTCTTACATATAGAAAATTATCCATAAAGCAAAACGGAATAAAATTATATAAATAAAGTTGAGTAAGTCAAAACTTTAGTGCCATGAGAGATGGAACATACCTTTTTTGGAACAACCAATGAAATTCGCAAAGAAAAATATCATAAAACAAAGAAAATAAAACACATCGATAAGCAATTTTGTTGGTAAAAGAATACTGTGGTAATATCCTGCGCGGCGGTTGTGTCGTGTGGTCTTCCAAGCTACACCCTGGCCTGCTAGCGAACAGCTGGGCGGCCGAGCCCGTCCAAACGCTTCCGAACGTAACCGAACCCGGCCGAACGAAACCGATCGTGCGAGCTAGCTAGCGACATACCTGTCTGGCGCTTTCATTGACAGGCACCTGAAATGAAGAAAAAAAACGATCCAATTCGTTGAATATTTTAAATTTTCAAAATGTTTTGCTTTATTAACTGATATAAAATCCTTATCTTTCACACAGATAAATTTACATGCATTTTTATTTAAATTTGTAATAAATTTGTTTCCAACATAATATATATCTATATATATACTTGTGCAACTAAAAGTTCAGCATAAAAAAATAATAGATTACAATGGCAAAATAAAACCTATTTTAAAAATTAAAAGTAAACATTCAAAAAAAGAACAAACAATAATGTAGCGAAACAGTTAAAAACAACATTGCAAGATGTATTAGGACAGTTGTTAAAATATGGGGTAGATTCGAGCGGCTTGACTCCGTTAATATTGTGCGTTTGCACGCGATCTGCGTCATGTTTGCCTTTGCACAATGCTGCGCTTCGAGTTAGAATCATTTTGCGTTACTGTCTTATTAATAAATCATTTAATATTTAGGAAATAGCTATAATTCATTAAATATCTAATTTTATATGAGATAAAGTAGATACATAATCGTCTCATGTTTATTTGACACACATCTTTATCTCAATAAAGTTTAGAATAAAATGTAACTCTAAGCAAAAGTTTACCTCAAGCAATAACATATAATTATTTTAAGGAAAAATAAAACTACAAACTGTTTTTATTAAATGACCATGCAATACAAAATAATTACGATGTATTGAAGCCCCGTTCCATTGGGCAAATGAATTAGATTATTAACGTACAAGATCACGCAAACCAAATCGTAAAATTAAAGCAAGTCAATTTTATTAAATGTACCCAATCCCATAAACTTCTTCGAACCCTAATCAAGTGATTAATTATGCTCGATGTAACAAATATGTAGTATTTACTTATGTGCTTTTGGGCATATAGTTTTACAATTTTATTTCACCAAATTAAAAAAAAATACACAAATTGCTATTTTATTGTTTTTGATTCATAATCATTATTGACATTTTTAATTTATTCATAAAAGTTCTCCTACGCCAATTTATGCGCCTCTTTTTAAAAAGTTACAGGTACATCATGTTTTACTTTTTTTTTTTTATTTTTTTTTATGATTTATCTCTCTAATTCAGCCTGCGGCAGTCCATTGCTGGACAGGGCTTTTTAATATAGAGGCCTAAATAATATAGGATTATGTTCATCATCAGTATTGGCAGTGGATTTTATATGTTCTTATCATACTATAAGTTATTTTTATTACTATAAGCCAATGCTTGAATACATTCCCACCTGATGGTAAGTGGTGATACAGCTTGAAATGGCTAAGTAGCTTATACAATGGCTAGTCACTGTACTACACTGTTAACAAAAGTTACTCTTGTCTAAAAGACGCCTAAGTTTCAATCTCTAAAAAAAGGCGTTGTCAAATTATTCCACTACTTTCCTGTAAAGCCGCGTATCCACCAAAAATGTTGACAACAATTATGTTTCCAACTGTTTCCAACAAGCGTCTCCACCGAGGGAACAAATGTTGACAACAAGCGTATTCCTTAGATGTTGCCGCCGAAAATGGAAACAAGTTTTGTTGGCAACTGTTGTGTTGGCAACAAAACTTTGGTGGAGACGCGGCTTAAGTATTACTAAGGACGACGCCCATCGTTGCTTATTTATTCAATACAGACTTTTTGTCTGTAAACTTAATAGGAGTTGAGGCGACATAGTAAAGGTACAAAAATGCGTAACGATAAGAAATCCACAACCTCATCACATTCTGTGGGTGTGGAAAGAATGGTGCACACATTACCAATTAATGGTCGTGGATAATAATTTGTTATAGTGCTCCAACCCAAGTTGTCAAACTACAATTGTTGGGTAATCTCTTTTCACTCAAATGGTTCCTTTCTTTGTCAGTGCAACTGGAGATACATTTTTCATTGTGATAATATTAGTCGATCGAACATTCTATAAGCGCAGTACATTATGCATTAAAATAGTGAAACAAATTCATTTCTGCGCAATCTAAATGTAGAGCCTAAATTAAAAACATACCCGTTAATACTTTACACTTTCATCTTTTACTTGATAATGCTATGCAAGAATAACTCTGATTTATCATATTTTATACTACTTATATCACTTACTTTTCTCTGAATAATACATACACAACTTTACAGCACCTTTCTCAAAAAAACCAATCTATCAATATTAGAACACAAAAAATAATGCAAGTCAGTTAATAATCCTGAATCGGCAATCGACAATGGAAATAAAGTCACAGTCACTTTTTTAATAATGGCAACTCAGTTTTTCTTTTTTATTGCCACCCTAGGTTCGTTTGACATTTGAACTGCCTGATGACTTGGGCGCCATGATTGATCGTTGCGACCCAGTAAGTAAGTGCAATTTAGCTTAATATTCCCTTCCTATTCAAAATTATCGTTAATATAAGCATAATAAAAACATTGCGGTAAAACATTTTAATGTCTGATTTCATTACCACAAACGTAGATCAAAAATCGAGACGCCTTCAACACAAACTTAATAAAAAAAAATGGAATGATACATGATTAAAATGACCTTCAAAATAAATTAACTGCTGAACCATGACTGATAATCATTTGTCAATCCGCATTGTCATTCGAAAACTCATTGGAGAACATCTGAAGTAAAATGTTATTTCTAAATTATAACATAAAGTTCAAAATTTGAATGATACCCCAGATTACTTTTAGGAATATTCGTTTCTAAAAGGCATTCGATTAACTTTCTTCTCAGCATAAGTTATATGGTTTATTTTCGTTAGTTTAAACCAAAATATTTGGTAGAAAATGACCGACGGCACATAATTTATCATCGGCCCAAGTATCCGCCCAAGGCGTAACGAATCACTAGTAAATAAATTGACCACAAACGCTTCAAAATATTTCTTTTAGTGTAATGTTTATAGGCAGCCTCTAACATTCATTTGTTTTTATAATACTGTGTTGATTTTTGTTAATATTTTATATTTACACTGGCTACTTTATAGATTTGTTTAGTTTTTATTATTTCATTGTCTTTTTTCCATTTTTTTTTTTAAATTCTTACATGCCACTGCGTTTTGTAATACTTTGAATGGCGTAGTCTTAAAAGGTATAATATAGATACTAAATTAGGTTTATAGGATAATTTGTGAATATTGTAAATAATACTAAAATCACAGCTGAGTCGTAGGCGAGTCATTGAAATGAGTCACACCATCATAACAATATAAATTGCAATTGACAGGTAGTAGAATTACTGATATGTTCTAGTCTACACGTTAAATTGATTGTGATTGTGACGCTCCAGGATGTGGGGGTCTACCACTCTAGTTAATGCTTACGAGCCTCTTAAATACTATGTTGGTATGTATTTCGTACACCTTCTAACCGTAGGGACGTCAACGTACTGTAAGTTATTAAATATTGTTATAATATATATTGGAATGCCTGTTTACTTTTTTGTTAACTGCCCAATTCATCTGTATAATTCTGTATGCGATGAATTCCCTTTTTTACCCGCCTTTAATTAGGGGTAGTTATCAGTACGACTGTATTTTTTTTAGTGCTCACTATGGTATTTGTTAGTCAGTCGGTCACGTTTACCACAGACTATTATAAATAAATCTTTTTTTTTAATGTACTGTAGAAACCTCGATGCTGCCTCGTCAGTCTCGTGGTCGTAAATGTGACTGCCACATAAGGTCCCGGGTTTGGCCAACAAAAATCAGTAATTAAGCTTTTCGGTCAAGAAATTCTCAGTAGCGATCTGGAGTCAGGAAACCGGTGGTGTCTCACCTCAGTGCCTCGGACTATGACAGTGTGGGAATAGAGAGTACACTTGCGCTTGCGCAGAGATACACTCGGGCATTATAATGCTATCCTGCGCAGATGCCGACGGCCGCCGTGACCGATTATCTTTCTAGAGGACATTACTATTAGTAAGCCATACAAACACTTCATTCTGAAATTTGGAATTCACATTCGCTGCGGTGTCAAAACCAAACGCTTGTCGACCCACACGTGATCTGTTTGTAAATGATTTAAATATGGATAGTTATAACATGTGATTACACAAAATATGTGTTGGTATAAAAATTTCAAATTGCTTTCTTTTCAGTGTTAGAGTTAATAGGTAATTTTTGGAGGTAAAATAAGAATTAAATAGCAATTCCCTTTTTAACCAGTGCTTATTCTCTGTTTCAAATATATAAAAAAGCTGAGAAAATTTTTAACTTGCAAAATTGAAAGAAAATTATTAGAATTGTTATTTTCTTTTCAATTTATGCACTTTTTTTTGGAAAAGACCAAAACTGTATGTAGGGAAATATGCAATTTGATCTTTTTATATCATTGTCTTTGAATCTATTTCCTTATTATCTTTGAATCTGTGTACGAATTAGTTATAAACAAAATCACAATTGCAAAGTTCTACGAGCGCGATCAATTGGTATAAGAACTTTTTTTTTTAATTGTAATATTTATAATTTATATGAGTAACTGATTCCACGAAACACTAACTGTGAATCTCAATCATCGTAAATTACTTAACCGATTTTATTTAATGGATGTAACATGATATCTCAGCGGTTAGTAAATCTATTTAGCTTATTTTTACTAACCCTAAAAGTATACTTTCACAATTGGTGAGCCACGCTATCGCTACGATGGCACGGACTTTTTACAGAATATGGGTGACAAACGAGTACACAGTCCACCTGATGGTAAGTGGATGCTGTGGCTCATAAAAATATATCTTTATCCTCGATTAAGAATAAAAATGGATATGCGATGTCAAGCTTGAGGGCTAAGATGTAACGTCTCGTGAACAGAAAAATGACTCTCTCTTCACTCACAAAACACTAAGGTATTACACTGCTATTTAACGCTGTTATTCTGTGATATATGGTATTCTTTCGAGCTATGAAGAGGGCTATGCTCGGGGTTTCTCTGCGTGATATACTTAGAAATGAATATATCCGCAGTAGAACCAGAGTGACCGACAGAC